TACCTAACTGATACCTGTTACTTGACTGTTACATGTTACCTGATACCCATTACCTAACTGATACCTGTTACTTGTCTGTTTCCTGTTACCTAACTGATACCCGTTACTTGACTGTTACGTGTTACCTAACTGATACCTGTTACTTGACTGTTACATATTACCTAACTGAAACCTGTTACCTGACTGATACCCATTACCTGACTGTTACCTGACTGATACCTTTTAACTGACAGATACATGTTACTTGACTGTTACGTTACCCAACTGAAACCCATTGCCTGACTGAGATATCTGTTACCTGACAGACACCTGTTACCTGCCTGGTACCTGTTACTTGAATGTTACCGGTTACCAGTTACCTGACAGATACCTATTACTTGACTGTTACCTGTTTTACACCACGGTATCTGATGCTTCCCTTAACAAAAAGTAGTATATTTTGATTATTTTTGCAAGTATACTTTAAGTATAAGTATATACCATACCATACCATACCAATTTATTTATATAGCACTTAAAACAGCAACAAGGCCAACCAAAGTGCTGTACAAAAGAACCAAACATGCACAGCAGACAGGAAAACATAAAATAGAAATACAGATACAAATAGCAGCAGAAGCTAACTAAAATGGCCAACAGAGTAGAGAACAGACCGGGCCAAAACAAATCACACCGTGTTAAAGGCAAGCGAATAGAAGTGGGTCTTCAAGCGAGACTTAAAGACTGAGAGTGTGGGAGCCTGCCGGACACTCAGTGGCAACTCATTCCACAGTCGTGGACCTGCAACAGAGAAAGCCCTGTCAAGTATATCAAGTATACTACACACCATACTTGTAGTGTACTAGAAGTATACTGATTTAATTCTTGTTTGGACTAAATTGGGACATTTTATACTATTTTTAAGTATATCAAATAAAGTTTATAAAAAGTAAACTTCAAGTACACTTCCTCATTTTTAGTGTAAAATAAGTATACTTGTAGTACACTTAAATTAACTACTTTTTGCTAAGGGTTTGTATTGCACTTAGTGATCTATGGTTTGGATGCAGCTGCTCGACCATGGAAACCCATTCCATGAAGTTCTCTGCGCACTGTTCTTGAGCTAATCTGAAGGCCACATCAAGTTTGGAGGTCTGCAGTGATTGACTCTGCAGAAAGTTGACGACCTCTTCGCACTATGCGCTTCAGCATCCGCTGACCCCGCTCCGTCAGTTTACGTGGCCTACCACTTCGTGGCAGAGTTGCTGTCGTTCCCAAACTCTTCCATGTTCTTATAATACAGCTGACTGTGGAATATTTAGGAGCGAGGAAATTTCACGACTGGATTTGTTGCATAGGTTGATAGCCTTTCACTAATGCACACCCATACCATCAGAGAGGCAGGTGTCTTTCTTTACTGTCCCATTTTATTTTATTTTTGGATGTAGCCAAACATTTAAAATGACTTCATCTTTCCTACAAATTGTGTCGTTTCTCAAATTAAACTTTGTTTCTTTGTGTTTTCATCAAACCTGAAAATCTTTGAGTTCTGTTTTTTACGTATAATTTGCACATCTGGAACTTTTCCTGGATTCTAACTAAACCGTCTGAACATGAAGTGAAACAGACTCAGAGGTGAGTTGAACGTCGTTTATTTAAAGACCCTAAATGTCCTCATGGATCCACAGAAAGGCTCGTGCTTCAGCAGGTCAACATCGTCCTCTTCCTCACTACGGGAACACAGAAGGGTCAATCCTTCTTGGAGCAAACCGACATGTCCTGTAAAGTCCACCATCAGATCCAGGAACCAGCAGCTGCTCATCACGCTTCAGTCTGATTGTTCTTTACAGTGACTGACAGGTGCTTTGTCCAGTCAGCTGAAGGCCTTCCACCTCCTGCTGCTCCAGCAGGAGTCCCATCAAACACCTGAACGCCTCACCTGTCCAGGTTCAGCATCAATGATCCACAACTTCACATCCACCAAGAAGGTCTGGAGCAAAAACCAGCTGAGGAGATTTTATTCTACAGGTTTAAACTGCAGTAGGAGGAGCAGAGGGAGGAGGGGCAGGAAGTCAGGCGTGATGAGGTCACAGGTGAAACGTCTCCACTTCCTGTGGCGCCGTCACTTCCACACCTTGACGATGCCGTCTCTGGAGGACGTGACGATGAAGCCCTGCGTCGTCTGGTAGGTGGCGATGTCTGTGATGATGTCATGATGGCCGACGGGGAGCGCCTCCAGGCCGCGGCGAGGGGAGTCCTCCGGAGCGCCGCTCTTCTGTTTGCTGTGGATCTCCTGCAGAGAAGAGGGCGGGGTCAAGGCGGAGGATTGGAGGTTCTGGTTCTGGTGTGTGGGTTTACCTGGACCACCTCGGTCCCTTCGATGATCTTGCGGTTGTAGAGGACGGACGGACAGTGCAGCGAGTCGTGGGCTCCTCCCACCACGATGTAGGAGCGCTCCGGATACGCCAGGTCCCAGAACCTGAACAAAACCGCATCAGAGTATTAAAACCCACAGAGGTTCCTCTGGGTCCAGGTTCTGCTGTGGTTCTGCAGTTAACCTTTGTGTGTGGAGAATCGGACCTGCAGCAGGTTCTGGTCTCACTTCATGCAGAACCAGAACTTTGCATTGCTTTGATCCGGTTTACCTCAGACCTCTGAGCTCTGGTTCTGGTTTTTGTTCCAGATGATCCGTTCGACTCGAGCTTCAACAAGAACCTCAGCAGAACCCGACCTCACATGAATTAGACTTTGACCTTTGACCTGCAATCCCTGCACGGTCTGACCTTCAGGGTACATAATCTTTCGATTGAATGACCTTTGACCCTTCATTGATTGATGAGCAGCAACAGCTGCTTCTCTGAGGTCATTGCTGATGACTTTCCGCATCGGTGAGGGTCGGATAATGAAAGCTCTGTTCTAGGCTGAGTTTGGATCAGAACACGCTTTCTCAGGAAGATCGAATTTCTCATTAAAAACAAAACTTCTCTGACAGGATCCATGTTGGGTTCTGGTCTTTGGTCTCACCTGATCCTCATGTCGGACCCGGCCGTCAGCAGCAGAGGGTTCCCGTCAGCAGGACTGCAGTAGATCCCGTGGACGCTGTGAGGAGATGGCTGCAACAGGACCACAGAACCGTTCACCACAGAACCTCACGCTTCTTCCAGAACATTAAGATCAGACCCACCTGCATCTCAGACAGCGGCGGCGCCGAGCTGGCCCACAGGGTGAACTTCCTGTCCCCGGTCTCCATGTCCCAGATGGACACCTCATTGTTCCCCTGGACAGCTACAGAGACACAAACAGACCTGAGGACAAGTTCACAGCGAACGTCCCCGACATGAAGACACGAGTCTGACCTGCGATCACGGACGACTGGTACAGAGGGTGCATCAGCAGGCGCCGGACCCGGGCCCGGGTCGGGTGGGTGTGGTTGGAGATGGGCAGCTGGAAGCGCATGTCCCAGCATGCCATGGTGCCGCTGCTCGTACCTGCAGAGCAGAAAGTGGTCAGAGTTGGAAGGAACAGCTCAACGTTTCCCAAGAGGCCCGCGGACCTAAGCAGAGCCAGCACTGGTGCATGTCCACGCTGAAGGACGTGATGAGTCCGAGCCGCAGGTCGTGGCGCAGCGTCCAGGCGTTGGAGTTGGACCGAAGGTCCCACCCCACCAACGACCCGTTAACCGTGGCGTACGCCAGAACCGACTGGGCCCCCGAGTTAAAGTGGTGGATGTCCACCACGCAGCCATCCTCCTGGAGGTCCAGGGACCTGAAACCAGACAGGAGAGCCAGGTCAGAACAAAAGGCTGAACCCCATGAAGCTGGGGGTTCCGTTGGTGGTACCTGGACTGGAACGGCTGAACTTTGGGGGATTTGGGAGGTTTGTTTGCTTCGACTGCGAGCAGCTGGACGGATCCGTTATCTGAAGCCACGGCTAAATAATGAGAGCCTTGGCAGAACGTTAGCGTCTTAACGTGACCGCCGACCCGGGAGTACGTCACCACGGACCTGCAGGAACACAGAGGAACATTGTACGTCTGGTCCAACAGAACCACAGAGGGTCAGAAAACAAACATTCAGAGTAAAGTCTTTAAACTGTCGTAGATTCATCAGAACGTCCGACTGACGGGTCAGAGTCCAAACCAGGCTCTAGATCAGTGATCCTCAATATTTGTTTCAAAAGAGCCACAATGACAGATCAAAGTCAGGTGGAGAGCCGCGACATCACCCCAAGTCACTCAAATAAAATAAAACATTTGAACAACCCACCTATGAACCAAAAAAGAAACGGTCAACTCTGTTTAAATAAAATGTATCTTCGTACTGAGATGAGAAGTTGTGCTGCATGTCCTGGACGTTCTTCATGTTGTCTTTTGTTGTTGCAGCCACAGTGAGACATTCAAGATGGACATGGGTCTGTGGGTTTCTCTGTTTTTGCTTCAAAGTGTTCATGGTTGAAAATGTTCACTCAGGTGAAACATTCAGCTTTTATTACCCCCAGTCCCATGAAAACCAAAGTCCATGCTCAACAATGAATTTGTTCCTGGTTTTAGTTTTCTACATTCATCTTATAATCCAGCTGTTTTTGTTACTCTTTTTGCATCTTATTTGTAAAAAAAAACAAATCTGTACGCCTTTTTATAACAGTCTATTGTTGTCATGATTCTCTGTTGAAACCAGGTCTCTCTTGTAAATGAGTTCTCCAGGCTCAATGGGATTTACCTGTAGAAATAAAGGTTGAATGAATATGCTGTGATATGTATATGGATGAAGATGCCCCCCTTCACATTTCCACCTGCCCCCTCATGTAACCATGTCTAGAACCGGCCCTGTAAGCCGCTCCTGCTTCCTTCACCGCAGATGACAGCAGGTGCGGAGACGTGCACGGTGATGATCCATCTGAGGTTAACAGGACTTTTTTTACCTCTACCAGCCGGTCGGACCTGCCTCCTCCTCAACAAGTAGATTAACACAATGTCAGTCATAAAACCGCATGAAAGAAGCCTGAGCCGACATGCGCAATTATTGCGCAATGTGCCAGCACGTTTTAAAAATGTACTGGCTGTGCTGGTGTGTTGTTGTAACCTGTCACAGAGCCACCAATAAAGCATGACGAGCCGCATGTGGCTCGGGAGCCGCACAATGAGTATACCTGGTCTACATCCTTAATGAGGTCTTCCGCTGAGCCTCAGGAGTCGGCTGAAACAGACGGAACCGTCTGAGCCCATCAGCCCAGATAAATCCAAGTACTGAGTGATGGAGAATCACTCAGTCTCCATCATTTCAGATGGTTTAATAGAAATATAATAAAATATAATTATTAGATTTTTACTGACATTTGATCAGAAACTCATATTAAAGTTGTTCCCTGCAGATTAAACTTGAAAAACTGAAGAGGAAAGAAAAGCAGGTTGAAGTAGTTTTAAGCTCTGAATGTTCCTTCGATCATCAGAGCAGCTGAGCAGAACCGTCGCTCTAAAGTCCGTTTTATTTCAAGAGAACTCTGAACGGGTCACTTCCCTCCTCGCTGTGAAAAATGATAAAGTGTGAGTTGATTTCGCCCGTGTTAACGCCGGTGGATTTCATCTCTGGTCAGAAGAAAGCTCAGATTGTAAATATTCTGACTCGTGTTCTGGTGCGACTCGCCTCGTGGTCGTGGTCTTCCCCTCCATCTTCTGACTGTTCCACACCTTTACCGAGCCGTCGTTGGACGCAGTGGCGAAGATGGAGTGCTCGTCTGAGACTCGGATTCGGTTCACCGCAGCTTTGTGTTCGTGCAGGTGGGCGACCAGCAGACCCTTGGGGTGCCACCCTGAAACACAGACCTCTGTGAGTCTCGACGCCACCATCTGAAGCTGGGCGTTATGGCGTTGGGGCGCTACCTGGTGGGGGGGGGCGGCTCTCCCACTCTGCGCTCTCCATCATCTGTTTGGCTATTCGCTCAGCGCTGCACTGTTCTCTCTTCTGCTGCACCAGCTGCTGAAGCTCGGCCTTACATGTATTGATGCGTCGCTGGTAGGCGGGGCCACTCACCACTGACTGTGCTGCAGGCGCTACCGGAGCTACAGACGCTTTCTTAGTCTGACCAACAGGGCCGTCCGGAGCCTGAAAACAGATTTTAATCTAAAATTAGTGATGAAGACATAAAATCCAGTGAATGAGTCATGTGTGATTGGTTAATAAGGGTCTGGTGCGATCAGTAAATAAGAGTCGGTTGCGATTGTTAAATAAGAGTCGGTTGCGATTGTTAAATAAGGGGCAGGTGAGATCAGTTAATAAGAGTCGGTTGCGATTGTTAAATAAGAGTCGGGTGCGATCAGT